TTTTTTTTTTTTATTTCATTATGCAGTCGCCTTAAAGTAGTTTTTTCTGTATTGTAACTTATTTTTTCGCTCCTTTGTAGGAATTTACTTTCTTCGCTGATAGTAAACACATTTGCTGACATAATGAACGTGTTGTGTATGTAACTGACCCTTGCCCGTTCAGGCTCTACGCCACCATAAGAAAAAATTTCTTTCGCAGACTTCCGAGATTCACACTTGATCCCCTTCTGCTTTAGTAATTCCCAGGTTCGCTGTCCCATAACATTACATGAAGCTCCCGAATCAATAAGAACATCTGGTACGTACACACCACCAATGATCAGCGTTAGCAAAGCACTTCTTTCTTCCCTGTGGTCATCCAACTGTTCCACTGAAAAAGCATAATCGAGTCTTGACTGACGACCTGGTGTTGCAAAATCTTTTTTGACTTCCTCTCGGGGGGCAGGTCCTCGAGTCACTAGAATTGCCTCTTGCCCTAGTCTTCCGCGTCCACGTCCACCCCGACCAAATCCACTAGCACCTCTGCCACTTTTACCATGTCCACCTCTGCTATTCCTCCTTCCTTTGGAATCCGACTGGGCGCCGCCTCGCTGATGGAGTTGGGGGCATTATACTTTGAATTGGCCTATCGTACTGCACTTCCCGCAAGTCTGACCTCGCGCCGGGCACCTCCAATCCTGACTAAAGTGTCCTTCCCGTCCGCAACCAAAGCACGTCTTAAATTTTCTGGGATTCTTGTTTCCATCTACTTTTCCACTCATTGCATTTACCCGGTCTACCTGGTCCGTGTTGTATTGTTTCAGTTGTCTATCAACTGCTTCTTGGGATCTCGCAACCCGCAACAAATCACCCAATGTAACAGTCCCTTCCTTTTCCAGGAACTTCCGACGCAAGTGGCTGGAGTAGCACTTGTGTATGAGTTGATCCCGAATGTAGTCGTCCTCGTTGACGCCAAACTCGCAAGTCGCTGCTCGGTGATGCAATCTGCACACAAACTGGTCCACAGTTTCTCCGTTCTCCTGCGAAATTTGTCTAAACAAATGTCTCTCAAAAGGAACGTTTGATTTGGTAACAAAATATTGTAAAGTACCTGAAGTGTTCCCTGAAAAGTCACATCCTCGCCATCACCGACTAATGTGAAATAAATTTCTTGAACGTCCATACCAGCAACGTGCAACAGAAGAGCTCGCTTTTGAGCGTCGTTCGAAACACCTTTTCCCGTCACGTACAAATCTAACGCTCTCTTCCATCTCTTCCACCGCTGACTTCAATTGTGTGCCTCTCCCTTCGGATTAAATGGTTCCAATCCACTGACATCTAAAGCAACTGAAACCATTCCGGAACCATTAACAGAACTGCCAACAGCACCGCTTGTCGTTTCGTCTGATCCACTGTGTCCAGGCATCTCTGAAATAAATCCCTGGCGAAATCCCTTACGAATTCCTGGACGAAACTCTCGAAACCTTCCACAGAACCTCGAAATCCTCGAAGTCCTCAAAATCTTCAAAATTCTCAAAATCCTCGTCGGCAATGTAGTACACAGCGATTAAAATGAAGTCCGTTTTATCCACGTACCTAAGAGAACTAACTAAATAATTAAACACACGCTCTATATATATGCAGGTCCCGAGGGTATTACATCACGCCATCACCCATCACATTACATTGCGCATATTACATGCTCGTTGGCATCCAGTATACACTACAACGAGATTCCTTGAAAACAAGGAAAAGTCGCCCAGTATCTTCCAGCTATAGGAATGATTTTGGAGACTTAAAGCCCGTTTCGCTATCCCGTCATTCATTAATACATACCAGAGGTAGAAGACATGAGAGTATCGGCATTCTTCCAGTCACGCCGTCGAGCATACCTGCCATAACAATAAGGTAGTGTAATCACCTAAAACTACGTTCATTAAAAAGCCAAAGGATCATGCAAGGCTTGAGTTTATTATTCCCTAAGAGCTTTTGGGACTAAGAATGCGCTTGAGTCAAAACATTTGCTTACAAATGTCCTTGATTCTGCCATTGTTGCCATTATCAATCTATTCAACATGGAACAGCACCTACCAAAGAGCAAGAGAAACGTTCAGGTAAAACTTCGGCACTATATCGGATGAAAAGGCTGGGTCAGTAGACACCTTTGCCGTAAACTGTGCTATTTTGTCAAACTCTTCCAGTCGCCAACCTAAAAATATGGATAAATAAAAAACTGCTTAAAACTTTCTTTTTTAACTTCTAGAGGGTGAATCTGCAATACAAGGCTAACATTCTGATCTGTTCACATCATAAGTTACTGATAAATTAACTTCCGCATGTAGGAGTGGCCAGACCAGACTACCTAATTAAAAGTATTCTTCGACTGAGATATAAATGAAAATATGTGACTTTCATATTTTCACAAACGTTGCAATTGTGATAGATATCATTGTTATGATGTCAAGCTTAGCGCATACAAACGAACTCAGTCCTACCTGCTTCTAGGATCAAATCAAAGCAGCAGCACATATACAGCGCTCGGCCATGTGAATCACAGCAATCCAATGCTGCAGTGTTCAGCTCCTTTAGAACATCAATGCAATCAGGAATCCTGAAACGAGGGCAACCAATCAAACACACCAAACAATGCAGGAAAATGCTCAAGAAACACTTCATTCCTGACCAACCGCATTACCAAGTAAAAGAACGTCAGTCTTTTCATATCAATGATCCCCCCCCCCCACATTGATCATACTTTACGGATTTGCTTATTGCGAAATAATTTTAATTGTGATCTTACTCAAGAAAAAAGCATGCACATAAACAGTTTTTTCTCTTGGTTATGTAAATCAAACACATCCAACATTCAGCCGATCATTTATCAGAAAACGGTGTCTGGATTATAGAAGACGGAGGTAAGTGTGACAAGAGGTTGCAAGATTGAGGTTTCGTTAGAAACTACTTCGCATGACTATCCCAGTATTTGTCGGTTGAAGTACTACAATTTTCCTGCTCCCCGATCACCTACTGTGTATGGATACTTATGCAAATCAGTACGTGTGATGCACGATCCTCGCAGTAGATAGCGCTATTTATGCAATAGCGAAAATCAGACCTGGAAAAAATCAGGCCTGTACGGGACTCGAACCACTGACCTCTGCGATACTAGTGCAGCGCTCTACCAATTGAGCTAACAAGCCAACTGGGAGCAGGCCGTTAAGTTGCTTCGTAATAAACCCGTGAAAGTGAAAAATGAGATAGAATAAATATTGCATAAATAGCGCTATCTACTGCGAGGATCGTGCATCATACGTATCTAATACTGCAGTTCAAAATATATGAACTTCATATAGTTATTCTATCTCATGTATACAAATCAGCTTATTCACTAGCTTCTCGCAAAGCTTCCTCAACAGAAGACGGAACATGTTTGTGCTCATTGATAGGACGAGGCACCTTACATCATGGAGTAAAAACTTTTTACCCCGAGAACGGAACTCATTGACCCGGACAAGGGTTTAAAACCAAACCTTCTCGGTCCACTACTCTACGTGTGTCCCTCTAGTTCCATGAGTTTCATCAGAAAAAATTAAAAGCCATCCCGTTATATTTTATTTTGAATTGCTAACTTTGCTGTGAAAAGAAGACTCTGAGCTAGTAGAGGAATACAGGTTGTCATCATATGCTGATCATGAACTTTTTTTGGAAGGTCAAAAGCGTGTTTTCCTGCAAAATAAAAATGCGTCTCGTAAGAATTGGATTATGCAAAAGGTTTCAATTTTGCCTAAAAAAATAACTTGGTAAGTCAAACCTGAGCTTATTGCCATCGACACTCCACCAATAGCCAGTCTGAAAGCGAGGCTAACGCAGTACAGATGAGCCACTGTTATCATATCCTCTGGGTCCGAATACAAAGACGGATCTTCGCATCTTTAAGAACAGAAAACAACAAATAAGATAGTCCTGTTTATCTGACGAGTATTCTTTAAACATTTGTGGTGTGTATTATGAACTGAAAGAAAGAGAATAAAATAAATTTAGCAAGTACATATTATAAAGCTCAAGATAAAGTCATGCATATCGTACCTGTTCTTTCCGATTTCCTCATAAGTTTTACCCCAACTTTTCCAGCCAACGAGATGAGAACACTCGACAACTCCTGCATATGCGTTGATAAGCTGTTGAAAGAAATTCAGGAGATCTATCATAGCGAATGATTGCTGATTACGCTAATGATTTGTGATTCATCTGCATCTGGTAGTGTAGAAATAAACCCCTTTTTAATGAAATTTCTTAGACAATGGGATGTCGATAATTTCTTGATCTGTTTTCTATATTGAACCTGTCTTTCGGATAACTGTAATTTCATGGGTTAATTAGTTCTATCAGATATAATTGGCTCTCCCTTTGCCTCTCTCTGGAAGACGGGAAATGGCCAACAAAGTCTTTCTATATGCGGTAATCTAGAACTGGATCAAAATAAACCCAATAAAGGGAATACAGAAGAAATTAATCAATTCTATCCTTACAAATCAGCTTACAAATGGGATATGGAGGTATCCCTTCTTACACACTCCAAATGTATCCCATATTCTCCTAAAGTACCTCGTGAAGGTTCTCTTCAGCCTCTTCAGCGGCGTTCAATTCCTGAAGAGCGGCCATCAGTGACCACTTCCTTAGGTGAAGGGAGTGATACACGTGACTGAGGTGGCTCAAGCATCGAGATTGCTCAATCAGTCGAGCTGATTTATCGCTGCAAAAAATGACGATAGATGAGACATAGCTGCGTCTACCAAATTTAATAAGCAATCAAAGAAATGGTGCAACTTACATTTTTCTCAGTCATGAGAACCTATTGACCCCCACCAACTTAAAGTGATAGTAATGGTTAGTTTATTTGAATAATTAAATAGCAGCCAAAACGGTTGAGTTCAATAACTATCAACAATAAAGCTACAAAGCTTAATATTAAGAATATAAAACACACAAACTAACTCACTAACCCCGCTCCTCCTATGTAGTAGCCGGGTAAAAACACGTGCAAATAATGACGTAATGCTTCCTTCAAAAGCCTCAAAAAACATCCAAAATCTGTCTTGGGTTGCTTCTTTCCCAGAATGAGCAGCGCTGCTGACAAATGCGTCAGAGCTTCATGAGGTCTATTCATATGAAACAATGCCTATGAAAAGAAGTATATTTATATTAAACACTGTGAGCTGAGAGGTAATTAATTACTTAGGTTAAAATTTTAAGAATGTAAAAATCAAACGCCTTTGAAATCGTTCGAGAGGAACAAGGAAGAAGAAAAAACACATCAGTGCAACACTTATAAGTTACAACACACAAAGTACTACATTGTGAAACTCTGTGGATAGATAGAATCTCCACCAATACATTTAAGGTTATAGAGTTTGAAGACGTTAGAAAGTCTGAAAATTAGGAGAGAAGACTCCATTTGGTAACTTTGGGGTAGTTTTTTACTTAGCTTTGACCTCTTGTAATTTAGGGAAAGGGTACCGGCATTTTCAGGTAATATGAAAAAAAAATGTCAATGACTCAATTCTCACCTGACCAATAAGACTCTCCACACGAGCCTTTTCTTCTTCAGTTGCCAGAGGCTCCTCGTGATCCTTTGTCTCTTCAATGAGGTTTTCCACCTCACTTAGATGAGACAAAGCTTGCATGTTAGAGGAAGCGGCCAATGCCGCCGCCCCAGACTCCATCAGGTAAGGCAGTGTTTTTAGCTTATTTCCAGCCGCTCTCCAGTGATATACAAGCTGGGGGAAGACCGAGGCAAGCACCTCGGCACACTGACAGCTGCTAAGGTCAATCAGTGTCTGTTTTGACTCTACGGGATCTTCTAAGCTGGTATCATCATCTTCTTCTTCTTCCTTCTCCTCCTCTTCTATTTGTAGAGTCAAAATTCGCCTTGTTTCAGGCCATGCGCACCAAAAGTAACAAGTAATCGATATTTTTAAGTTTAATGCTGCGTAAAGGCAGAAAATAAACAACTTCAACTAGCCTCCTCCTACAGAGCACTAAATCATGCTATTACCTCCTGTCAAAGTGAAGTTTCTCTTTGCAGAGAAGGGTCTTAATTTTTTCCTCCCTGCGACACCCTCATCTTGCTCTCCATCTTCTTTTCCAGGGCTCACAATTTTTTTAGCGAAGGGAAGTCTCTGTAACCAGCTGATCCTACGATCATCAACTGCCCGACCAACGACAACATTGTTGAAAAACCCTGAAGTACTGGCCAATGCGTTTCCAATACCTTCCGCGTTTCCAACTTTCTGGTTCACCACCAGAGATTCCTTGAGTTTTTTTCTCTTGAAAGCAAAGTAACACCACTATCGGTCACATTTTTTCCAAATAATGACGTCGATCAATAGTTATTAGTATTTTGTCCATGATATTAAAAGGAGTGCTTTAAATTTATCTTTGGAACTGAAAGTGAACTTAAAGTATTTTGAGAGTCTTTGCGTAAGAATTTCCATAGTTATTGATATATCTCTAAGATACAGCAGAACTTACTTTCAAAGCATGTTTTCCCCCAGAGATGTCCGAGGATCTTTCATTAGTATGCGAATAAAACGCTCCTTGACTTTGCACCCTCTCCCTCATCTCTCCTGCCCTCCTACGCTTCGCCATCTTGGAGGAAACCGCTGGTTGTGATCTTCCTGACGGAGGTAAAGGAACTATTGATAAAGCTGGATCAATTTTTATAACGTCAACGATGTTGTGTTGTGTCATAGCAGCAACGTGTCATTTACCGTTTGTCTTTCGCTGTCCCTGAACCCTTTGTTCTTCCAAAGTATCAGCTGTTTTGGCCACAAATCCTCCCCCACCACAAGATTTGCATTTGTGAGCCTGTGATTCAAGGAACATGGCAGCTCTTTCGTGAACCTCTTTCTTCTGATCTTCAAGCCAAAGAGTGTAAGTTGTCTCTTGCACGTAGGTGTTCACAAATTTCAAATACAGACAATGCTTCTTGGGACCACTTGCCGTCATGAGTTGAGACAAGTTTATCACTTTAGTCATCTCGTCTGCATAACAGCCACAATAGACCGATGCATGGATAGAGCTAGCAACATTGTGGTGATGGTGATGATGGTGATGATGGTGATGATGACTATGGTGTTGCACATGTAAGGGATCGTTGAAATCGTAGAATCCGTGATGATTGTGGGCATTTTGATGCTGTAAAGCTAAGCTTGCGCACTCCAAAATAGACTCTTTAGCAAGATTGTACAAAACCAAATCAATGCAGCTTCGAGAAGACCTTGGTAAAATGGCTTGCAGAACGTTTCTGTGAAAGTCACATCCCAAGATGCTCGCACATTTTAAGGTGGCTTGTTCTTCAGGCAACATTCTATCCACTCGAGCAAGCACCATTTCTTTGACGGATTCTGGAACAACCACCTTAGAAATGTCAACGCCTGGGCTGAAGATGCAAACCTTTTTTGAATCTAATGGCATTGAATTTTCGGAGGCGCTGACAAAATTAGCTTTGTTTAAATTATAATGAATGTTCTCCTGGATAGCGTCATCGTCAGGAAGAGGACTATCTGGACGGGATGTTCTGTTCGATTCGAGGTCTGATTGAATCAGTTTTGTTTTGCTCTCGAGCGGACTACTTGACAAATTGAATTGGACACTCATAACAGCGCTTGTCGACCATCTTCGATCCCTCCGAGAGGGCACCGAGGTGTCCCCGGTATCTTGAAAACCAGCGCTTAAGGTGTTTGATGCAAATCCTTTGCTCAGGGGGAGACTTCCTCGTCTAAGTTCTGCACTGCTTGCGCCAAGCCGACCTCCGTCAATTGCCTGCTCATATAACGGGATACTAAGACGCGATAAATCAGCCAATGCATTGCTGTGTTTTCGTGAAATAGCGTTTGTGGTAGAGCTCCCAAAGGACAGTAGGTCGAATCTAGATTTTTTGTTGAGAAATGCTTGGCTCTCATTGACAACCTGTATGGTATTGCTTGTCAACATGTCTTTAATGAGCTGTTTACACCACGAAGCAATGCCATGACTCTTCTCACGTAAGATGTTGTCCAGCTCATTAGGTATGTACATGACATCCATAAACTGACAGGCTAAGTCACTCATGTAAGAGGCATGCAGGCCACCTAGACAAAGAAAATAAAACAAAATTGAGACAACTTTAGAGGGAGGTTCATTTGAACGTGTAAGATACCCATTGCTGAACTCATATTTCACGCCAGCAGAACAAAGCATGGGTTAAAGAAACAAAAATCATTCATGATCCCGTTGGAACAAGCTTAAAGCAAACTTCAGAATAGAAGAATTATCATAAACTCGTTATATCTGTTACATCTGACTTTTCAATCCATTTTTTTCTGTGGTACAGCACCACATCATGGATCTAGATAGATATCTAACGGTATCGTTTAAACTAACAACTACAAGAACCATTATTAAATAGCAAATTTGACATATGCAATGATTATACCAAATGAGTGTGATCATGAGGTCGTCTACGGACAGTTACAATGAGGGCCTTATGCTGCAGTCTGGGTGTCTCAAAATATCTTTAAATCCTCACTATCATTATTTCAACCAACTCTGTTAGTTTATTGCTTTAGGAGAGTTATTTTCGTAAGGTTTCCTCCAGTCCTAGGGACAACTGAGTTACAAAAGTTAATCATCTATCTTTTGTATGAGGCGCGTGTGCTTGGTCTGAGCCGATGCAACTGTTAAATTTTAATGTTCAGTTGTAAATCTCCTGACTTTAAGAAAATTAAATACCAACTGACCAAGTTTAACTTTGTTGGTGGCTTCATGTCCAATCAATCTAATTGCTGCCTCGCACAGTGGGTTGGATGATGAGAAAGGCCATAGCGACAGAACTAATATAGCGTGTGAATCCGCTGATAAATCTTCAATAAAGTCCCAAGATTCCTGATCTATAAACTGAGCGTTGTCCACGGTAAACAGACACGGCTGACTCACTGCAAACTAAAAAAAAGGGCAAAAGTGATGGATACTGTACATCCAAGAGTGACAAGTGCATGTTAGAAAGATTTTTTCAGAAATATGCCACAGAGACCGGCATATAGAAGAAATAAGGCATCAAAAACTTTAATTTTCGAATTTCCTGAAGATGGACAGGACACCACGACTTTTACAGATATCAAAAGCGTTAAAGCCGTGGAAACAGATTTTAAATAGGTAATAATAGAAAAAAAAAGCTTTTGTTTTAGATCAACGCGAATTCACCCATCAAGTAACACAAGTATTACTGGATCACAATTTCTCGAATACATACCTGGTGGACAATTTCAAACAGAAGGGTATGAAGTTGAACGGTTAGTTTATCTGAGTCCATATGAGCAAAGTCAGCATTTGGTGGTATCTGAAGTAGAAATTATAGGATAACCAGGCGTTTTGTTGGCCTGCAGCGAAACAAAACTGGCTACTTTACCCTTAGAGCGAATTACTTTGAGACTGGATAGGATGCAAAAGATCCTGCTCCACCACTTTCCTTCCAAACCTACTTATACTCCAGGCGGACCCCGTAATTGTTAGAGGAATATGAGTGAGTGCAAGGAATCATGAGCAAGGGTTGAAATAGCGACGTGCACGAGAATATGTAGAGGTAGTTAAGTTTATCTCGTTCTTCGTCGTCAATAGGGTCAGTTTGTTCGTTCTTTTTTGTTTTGTTTTGTTCTTTTTATGTTTGTTTTTTTTTGCTTTTTTTTCATCAAGTTACAATTAAAAAATAGTCTGACAATGAATAATGAGTTAATTAGAAAATTTAAAAACAAGGGAATGTTTTATTTCAAGGTACCTGGCCTAAAATCCGATTACCTCCCAAAACGCACTTAAAAGCTAATGGTTGTTTTTGCCACATCGTTTATAAAACCGTCATTAGCTAACTTCTTCGCCCAAGACTTTTATTTGGATCTTCTCCCTTGCTTTGAGAATCACTTTTCATCAAACTGAACTTCATTAAACTCTGGTATCCGCAAAAAGTTGCACTTGAAAGCCCCTTGTCAAACTAAAGGGTCAAGACATTCTACTTACGTGTATGCCAAGAAGGTCATTCAACAGAAACATCTTTCCTCGCAACCTTTGATCAGTAATGTGCTTCATAAGGGCATTCTCCTTTTCATAAGCCGTGCGGCAGGCTTCCAGATCCAATAGGTTTGTAATAAGAGTCTTAACAACGTGATAAGGAGTATGGGCATGCGCCATGTCAGCCTCTACGTAGTCCACCCTAGAAGTCAATAAAACCAGGGAATTCTTATTTTTCAGAAGAAGAGTCCTAGGGAGACATGCTAGCTTACGATCAGAATAATGGACTCTCCGGGCTCGTGATCTGACCTAATCATTTTGTTGTGGCTTTGGCTAAAGATTTTTTCCGGCACAATGCATATTTCGACCCAAGGACATATACAGTGATCTGAAAACACCCGAGGAGCGGGACGAAACGATGGGGGAAAAGCTCACCAGCGATAGAACATACATCCGTTGAAAAGTAGCAATAATCTTATAGGAAAACCATGACTGACTCTTTTGGGGATTTATCGCATTTTTCTCGTCTCCTCATTAGATTTGATGATGTCTTTTAAAGAGCTCAGAGGTTCTTACTTGAAGTCTTTCTCCTCCGCAATATCCATAAATGCCTCGAGCAATCTTGTTTTGCCAATTCCTCCTTCACCTTCGATCACCACGACTCTCCTGCTGCCACTCACGCGGGTATCGTCACATTTAATGGCGTGAAGAAGCATTTTCATCTCCTCTATCTCTTTGCTTCGTCCTGTAATTTTGAAATCAGATATCGCATCTGTAAGATGGGGGATGCATAGCAGCCATTCAGAGACAAAATTTTCCTCAAAATTCCATATGTCAACACCGAAAATGGGGAACGACAGTGGTCCAAAAACGAAAAAAGCACTATGGGAAATGATCCAGCAGAAGTAGAATGTTGAGGCCTAGGAACTAAAACAAATGGCCTCTTACTAGCATTCTGGCAAAACATCCTAAATGATTAAGGAGCCTAAACTGCAATGGTCGCCAAAACTGAAAACCAACGATTCTGAGTAGGCAAAGCCAGAGAAATTATTCTCTAAGGTGACCAAAACCAATAGAAAATAAGCGAGAAATCCAGTAACATAGTATTCTCTGCCATCTTTCCTTTAGAGGCGCGACAGACCATCTTTTCATGGGCCCATTTAAAATATGTCAAAGATTAAAATTACCGAGAATTGGGTAGTCATATTCCTCTTCTTCTACTTTTCGGCTGCAGAGGCAAACGAATTAAAATGATTTTTCATCATCCCAAAAATAAACTGATCATAATCAACAAGCTTGAAAAGAAAGATCTCTTCACACGCAGCATTTCTTACTCACTCGTGATGTCTATTGTATTCTCGGACTGTTCCAGGATCAGCTACACCTTTCAACTTTATGAAGGGCAAGACCACGAAATCCTCATTTTTCAACTTGGACTTGCCTGACCGGTAAGTGTCGTCATCACAGGAAAGGGTCCCGGGATAATTCACCATCAGCCTGGCAGCCATGTTAACTTTACGGCTAATGACTGTTGAAGCAATATTGGGTTGATACACAGCCTGAGTTTCATTTCAATGTTACCAAAATCTTCTCAATCTCTATAGTTAACAGTTAAAAGTGGCAGAAAAACCTAGATCTGTAATTTGAGCCAAATCGTTAGGATTGTGTCTCGTTTTTGCTGCATAATATCAAAAATATTCTTGTGTTCCTCAGTTTGAAGTTTTAGCCTTCAAAATAAGTGGCTGTTAACCCTTTTCCTAATGTGATGGTACAAAACTTAAAGAACCACCAATATTAGTCAGTGCATAGGGTTCTGGACTACGATAGTCTGGATAAGGAGTTTTTAAGAAGGACTAGGTGTTCTGGCCATGGGTACACACTAACTTAAGGCAGTGCCTCTTTCCACCCAGGAGAACCAGGAAATAGTTAAGCTGCTGTATTGAACACGTCCATTCTCAGATCGTGCAAACATCAAGTATAGAACTAATATCGTTCAGTTCTGTAGACTTCGGCGCTTATAAGACTCGCTCAATTTGAAAGAGAACGATATTATAAAAGCAAAAAAAAAAGATGACTGAAGTTTAACAAACCTGTATACTCGTGTCTGTCCCTGTGACCAACCACGCCACAGAACGCACGTCCAGTCGTTACACCGATGGACTCATTGCTGAAAGACAAACAATGTCAGCCAATACTTTGATGGAGAATCCTTTGTGGAATCACCACTCCAGCCTGATTACTCACGTGACATCCATAATCTGATGAAGACTGTCCATTATACTGTGTCCAGCTTCGAGGGCCCTGGCAGGGTCATCCTCGTGCTTATCACCAGGCAAACCAAATATCACGATAAATGTACAACCCTGCAAAATATGATGTCAAGTCTCGCCGCATCAGAATGATGGTCAATTTTTTCGGTCACGTAGTGAGTGCCTTCCGTCCTTCTCTTAAGCTTCCCACCCATTCACCAGCTTATTGGTATTGCAGATTTGACTAATCTACTGAGACATATCACAAAATAGAATCAAGAAAACTTTGCTTTCAACCACGTCCGTTCTCAAGAGATTATGATCTCTTGCTGTTGTCTGATACAGAGACCGTACATGAATAACAATTAGTTTCAGATGAAAAAATAGACTATGTAAAAGAAGAATAAATAAAAGGGGTAAGTTTCTAAAGAAACTGCGGAGCTGCATCGATGGGAGTGACAAGGTATTTGGCATTTTATCAACTGAGTTGACAATAGCCCTTATCGCATTTGTGTCTGCAATGCAAAGGGTCCGCGGAGTTACAGTTTCAGGACGAGGCTATCGGGTCAACGTTTCTCGAAAAACACCAGAAACACTCCATGTCTGACCGTATAACTCTGGAATATGCGTTTTTTCTGCCGAGGAAAAGGTTAAAATTCTTAGTGGTAATTGTCCTGGCCTCACGAAAGGAAGATTTAAAGAATGGCTGTCATTTCGGAAAGGAACGGCAAATTTTTGTCGCGTTTGTTCATGACTACGGTTGTTACATATGATGCACGATCCTCGCAGTAGATAGCGCTATTTAAGCAATAGCGAAAATCAGACCTGAAAAAATTCAGGCCTGTACGGGATTCGAACCACTGACCTCAGCGATACTAGTGCAGCACTCTACTAATTGAGCTAACAAGCCAACTGGGAGCAGGCCGTTAAGTTGATTCGTAATAAACCCGTGAAAGTGATAAATGAGATACAATGAAATATATGAAGTTCATATATTTTGTACTGCGGTATTAGATACATATGATGCACGATCCTCGCAGTAGATAGCGCTACTTAAGCAATAGCGAAAATCAGACCTGAAAAAAATCAGGCCTGTACGGGACTCGAACCACTGACCTCTGCGATACTAGTGCAGCACTCTACCAATTGAGCTAACAAGCCAACTGGGAGCAGGCCGTTAAGTTGATTCGTAATAAACCCGTGAAAGTGATAAATGAGATACAATGAAATATATGAAGTTCATATAAGGCTTGTTAGCTCAATTGGTAGAGCGCTGCACTAGTATCGCAGAGGTCAGTGGTTCGAATCCCGTACAGGCCTGATTTTTTTCAGGTCTGATTTTCGCTATTGCTTAAATAGCGCTATCTACTGCGAGGATCGTGCATCATATGTATCTAATACTGCAGTACAAAATATATGAACTTCATATATTTCATTGTATCTCGACTACGGTTGTTGTTTCTTTGTCGGCCTTTTTGAGGTTGAACTCAGAGTCACGTTTCAAGGCCCTCAGCGCTTTGCGTTCGGCCGGAAGCAAACTATCTTTTGGCTTTGTAATTTCTATTTCTGAAAGGTCACTTTTAACCTCTTCTAAATAGCTTTCAAGGGCTACTGATTTTTGTATTGGTGGTATCCATGTAGATTTGACGTGGCAGGGATGGGTTTTTTTTTTCCTCCCCTCGGAATATGTAAATCAGACGCATTCTCCTTGCGAACCGATCAAAGTCACACAATAGTTGTTGTCTGATCCGTTTTTGTTTTGTAGCGGGTGTTGGAATGAATTTAAGCCCTTCTGTTAGTAAATTAATCTGGTCGTTTGTAAGTTCGTTATTTGAGAGGTTTTTTATGTGCGTTTTGTTCGCCTCTAGTTTGATAGTTGAACGTGTTTGGCAAGACCGCAGTCTCGATCATAATCTTGTGGATCTCGTCAGTTAGCGATTCACTGAATAGACTGTCGCACCCGTACGCAATACAATGTCTAACCATGACGAGAACACGCTGACGATATCCTTAAGAAAATGAATGAAAATGCCTCCAAACGTAGCCTTTTGCTTCGATATTACTTGAAATTTTTACCTGCGTGACCCGATAGCCTCATTTCGAAACTTCAAAGTCCGCTGAGCTCTCGTACAGTGGGCGTAAATGCGATAAGGGCTATTGGCTACCGTAAAGAGTTTGAAAGCTGACGTTTCAAGCGTTAGCCTTTCGTCAGAGAAAAAAGAGGAAAAAAAAAGGATATAGATAGTATTTTTGTGCGAATCAAACACCTTGTACACTCAACCATAGTTTTTCAAATCCGCACGAATTCGAAGAAAACCAAACACTCAAAAATCATTTTCACAAGCCATAACTACAATTGGACACAGTTATTGGGTTCATTCAAGTGCACCTCGACCCTACATCTACGCCATATCTTCTTGAGAAAAATCATTATATAACTGCCTGTAAAATCACGACGAAAAATTAATCGAGCAACAAAAGCATTCCTTACCTTGTCGAAAGAGAAGACTTTGTTGAGATTGCCTACAACAAAAGAAATTCAGTGGAAAGAGCTGAGACAACGCGAACGTTTCACAAACCTCGTTAACTTCAAATCTCTTCAGAAAAAGAGACTTTTTTTAGAATTATTTGATATTTGAGGATTATTAATAGCTTCATGTTGATTCACCTCTAAGTCTTCTGGCGTATTCATGAATGACCTCAAAAGCTCTTTGAAGGGCCCAGGAATGAGACGCTCCTTTTGAGGGCAGGTCCATATTTATAAACAGCACCGAGACCTGACGCATTTCTGATAACCATTCTAGATCCTGTTCATGATCAATCTACAGTAAAAATGAATAGGTCAGCCACAGGGCTCTCTTTCATTCCTTTAAGCCAACATATTTATACAATAAACAAAAATCAAAAGTCAACTCTCGGGATTTATGCAAGATTCTCACTTTAGAAGAGAGACATGTTGGTCTTTAATAAAAGAAGACACAGTCTTAGAGGCCAAAGATCTAACTTCTCCTGTGTTATAGCATTACTTATCGCTCAAATTATTCACAGTCATGCCCTCAATGAGGCTAAATTATAGGTATTTTACATGTAGATGGTGTTACCCGTGAAAGCACAGTTTTAGGGACATAGGCTCGGAGATCCTCGATATCCTGATCATTAAGCTTGCTGTAAATGTCAGTTCGATGATCTGAAAACAAACATCAGTGCAATGAACCAAACGCTCACAGATGTTTCGCTTTGGTTGGCCAAATCATAATTTGGTACCTATGTTACATGTCACGTTATCTTACGATCAGATTGGAACCTTCACGAAACACAGCGAACCTTGAGATGTAAAAAAACAAAAGTTATCCTTATTAACAAAACGATTGTAGTGAAGTTTTTTCATTAAGAAGCTAACGCTCGATACAAACCAAATTAGATCTCAGTAAAAGATAAGTTCTCGAACTAAGTTGAATATGAACTGTTCGAATTCACACGTGTTCAGCATTCATAGTTATATATCCTATAACAGAATCAACTCTCGTACTCGGAGCCTCACTAACCTGGATCATGATAACTGTCGCTTTTCAAAAGGTTTCCGGTGATTTTACAAATCTGTTCTTTCTGTTCCGACTGTCCCCCTTTCCGGTAAACTCTGGGAAGCTTCATTTGTGGATAGTATCGTGATAGCACTGTACCAATATGAGGTGCAAATATTCTTTTAGCCACAGATGGTGTTGAAGTGAGCACAGCCCCTGTGGACAGTACGCCAGACATCAATGCTAGTCGCACACCGGTTGGGTGTATTCCAGACACTGTTGCGGATTCTTCTTCTACTTTTGCTCCCGCTACCTACAATATTTAAATAAGAAAAGGTATACAATTACTTCTTCGGCGGAAACCACATTTAATCTTTCTTTCATTGCAGGCACAACTCACCCTGTAATGCATTTTGTTGTCTATCGCTTCAAACAAGAACAAAGACTGATCACACTTCGAAAACGCCAAACGTGACAAGATTATCGAACCAGGCTCCGCCAACTTCTCTGCGCCATTTACATCCGAAACCGCTGACCCGGAGAGATCGAAGTGTTTGCTTTCCTCCACTCCCATGTGTGTTATTTGCATTTTTCCAACGGACAGGGCGATTTTAACTCGAAGAAGGACGCCAACATCCGTCAAGTAGTTGTCGCATTCTTCTTGAATTGCCATACTGCAAATAATAGCTTTGTTGATTAAAAGAGTCAGATCGTCTGAGTTTGAATCGTCCTCTGATTTCCACAAGGCAAGTACCGCGTCCCCTGAAAGTAACAACAAACATACCATAAACACTGACTAAATCTAAGCCGGTTTACACCCCCTACAAGCCATCATATTTTATACCAAGAAAAACACATCCCAGCATCGATCAGCGACACGGTTCTCGTTACAAATGCGCATTTGAACCTGAAATGTAGGAAAAATAAAACAAAAATCAACGAAAAATTTTGATATCAAAATTATTGAATATGCCTCTTGCAGAGGTAAAAATGGTGGAACTCAAAGAGAGAACGCCTAAAATTGAACATTTTCCTTTCTTTAATCCATGCCAGACTTCGATAACTCTCAGCTTAACTTTTTTGGCTTAGGCGTTAATTTGCTTTAGCTTGTTTGTATGTATGGTTCTTCGTTAATTCAATTGCTTTTATTACATATGTATTATGAGTGCTGCCTTCGAGTGTAGATTTTGACTTCAGGCGAAAATCATGATTCCCTTTGTGGTAGTTACTGATATGTCTCCTTTTGAGAGAAATTTACCAAACTCACCAGCAAATTTCAAGACATCGCCGCCGTGTTTAAGAATATCTGTAGATGGTTAAGATGGACTTTAGTACTACTAATACTACAACAGAGGGAATTTTTTATTATGAAATGTATTTAAAAGTGTTCATTGCCAATTCAGTCATCACTTACCTTCGACTATTTTCCCCAGATAAGTATTTAGTGTGAAGGTGAGTTTGTCTGTGCCACAGGACTCAGCTTCAGAAGCCTTCTGACTATATGTTTCACAGAGTGAGGTAAATCCTATAAATGATAAAGGAAAAAATTAATATTTTCATGTCTGATAAGTACTTCTTAAACACCAAACGCTTCATGTACAGAATCAGGTTCCCCGGGTTTTTGGAAAGTAAAGTTGTGTTAGAACCAGGTGCTCCTTGGGAGGCAGAGAATACTGGACTCAAAAGAGCGGTAAAGTTCGAGCTTAGTTTCCTTATAACAAGGTATTATAACAAGAAAGCCATCAATTTAAATTTCGCGTGCCATATGCTGGTAAAGACGTTTTTAAATTTTCCTTTTTTCCAAGAACTATAATAGACTGGAACTGCCTCCCTGAGACCATTGTTTCGTCAACTTCCCTAGAAATTTTTAAACATAGGTTATCAGCCTTCTTAAATGATAGTTCTATGTAGCTTATATAGTTTTCGTGATTTAATTTTTATTTTCAACATCCACATAATTGTATCTCATTCATTTATTTATTTGCTTTATTTTTATGGTTGGTGTGAGATCTTGATGCTTTTACCGGCCTAATAACATGTAAATGTAAATGTAAATGTAAAAGGTTACGGATTCCTACTTCAATTTCATTTGAGACGGCTCTGGTATTTCCTCGCATCGTTTAACGGGAATTTTGTCCTTTGAAAT